TTTAAAAAAAAAAAAAAAAAAAAAAAAAGTCTTAGGAAAGGTTTTTCCCACTTCACTCCTGTAGGTAGCTCAATAACACATGTAGGTGAGTAAGTGGAGAAAACTCTCATCTCTCATTTTTTCACTAATGATTTTGAGGCTTATGGTCTGAAGTCAACTGAAGGGATCCCCTAGCCCAGCACCCCCTCTCCCTGTCCCTAGGGACAGCTGTCCAGAATCAGCAAATTCAGCCCATTTCTGTTCCCATCCTGGTGTCCTCACCGAGATGTAGCTGGCGTTGGTTCCCTCGGTTCCAGTGCCCATGCCTGTGGCCAGGGCGTGGATGGCAATCCGGGCCTGTGGAGCCACATCGATGAAGAGCCGGCATCCGCCTCCATTCCTCCCTTCTGGACTCAGCAAGGGGCTCACAATTTTCCCCTGGGGTCCAAAGAGCTGCATGTCACATTCTGCAGGGAAGAGCAGATAGGTCGACTGGAACTGGCTCCTCAGGGACATAGGAGCCCGGACAGACCACTGATGCCAGAGGCCAGAGCAGCTCACAGCCAGGCAGCAGTAAGGGGAACAGTGTGGCACTGTGGTCAAGATCGGAGCTCCAGCCAGAAGCCCCTGCTGAACTCCACTTCTACCACTTCCTGGCTGGGTGACTTTAGGCAAAGGCCTTAATCACTCTGAGCTTCAGTTCCCGCCTCTGTAAGGTGAAGGGACAATGGCACACACTGGGCAGGGCAATGTTTAGGAGGACTCAGTGAAATCATGTGTGCAAAATGCTGAACACTGAACCTGATACAAAGTGGGCTCCAACCACGGCAGCCACTGCTACCTCTGGGAGGCCACCTGAGCCCATCTGCCTGCACCTCCTAAGCCTCCCTCGAGGCGGGTGGTTGCAAGGCCAGGAAATAAGCAGCAGCAGGAACTGTGACAGTCGGCTCTGCAGCCCTTCAGCACGATTTAGCAGTGACTGCGCTTCACACCAGCACAGATCACTGCCGAGGACTGAGGAGACTGTGCGGTAAACCTCTGCAGAGGGGAAGCCCCTGGTGGAACCAGAAACCTCTGGAACTGGCTGTGGATGCCAAGTTCAGCTGTTGGGAGAGGGCAAGCCCTCTGAGGTGACCAAGAGGTCTATCAGAGGGTACCAATGGGCCATGGGCAAGGCAGGGGCCCCTGAGATGCCATCCTGAGCCTGAGATGTGTGTGGTGGTGGGCACACATGCATGTGCAAGCATGCACCCATGCACCGGTGCACTGAAACAGGGCCAAGGGAAAGTGGCTTGCAGAAGAAGCTTTAAGGACCTCGAAAGGCCTGAGTGCTGGGTGCAAGGGCGTGGGGCCTGAGGGACAGGGTGGGGATGTGCACCAAGTCTCACATCTACGCATCTTGCTGCACAGACCTAGAGAGGAAAGGACACAGCACTTACCCCTGGACCTCATCCTGACCGCAGGTATAGGTCAATACTGGCCACCCCGGGTTCCTTCCATCTCAGTCGGCTCCCTCCCTGTCTTGCCCACTGCCCCACTGGGACTGCCCTATATCCAGCAGCCTGCCCAGACTGGACCACCCTGCAGGGAGGTGGGAGGGTCTGGTGCCTTGACCTACCTCTGTGGAAGGCTTGCGGGGCAGGCTGGCTCCCATACCGCAGCAGCACCCCACTTGCCGGCTGCACACAGCGCTGCCTCACCACCAGCGTGTTGGTCTTGGAGCTGAAAGTCAGGCCAGACAGCTTCCTGCACATCTTTCTCCACGTGAGCCGGCCCCAAAGCAGCAGCATCTCCCCTAGGAAGTGGCAATGCAGTGAGGGTTCAGCACCCCCAACCCCAGGTCAGCAGTGCAGTGGCTCCAGGGAAGACTGAGCTGAGTTCAAGTCCCCGACTCTCCCCCTTACTGGCAACATGACTCTAAGTATCCGGACACATTACTTAATCTCACCTAGCCTCGGTTTCCTCATCTGCAGAATGGGGATTGTCACACCGCAGTGGCTCCAGGGAAGACTGAGCTGAGTTCAAGTCCCCGACTCTCCCCCTTACTGGCAACGTGACTCTAAGTATCTGGACACATTACTTAATCTCACCTAGCCTCGGTTTCCTCATCTGCAGAATGGGGATTGTCACACTTCAGTCACAAGATGGCCATGAAAATTAACAGCAGGAATGCATGTGGGGCACTGTGCCAGGAACAGGCATCTGGCAGGCCCCGTAACTGGCAGCAACTGCTCATGTGGCCCTAGACGTACCTGCGCTGCAGTTGAGGGAGCTCTCGAGGACATGGAGGGTCACCACCTCACCCAGGGGCCGCCCGATGGCCACCACACAGTCTGCCTGCCCTAGGCCTCGCATGTCAATGGTTCCTGCTGGCTCTAGGTGCTGCCTGCCACAGGCACCTGAGGGAGCAAGAGCACAGGTGAGCAGAGCTGCTAGGATCCCAGCAGGGCACAGTCTGGTGCTTTCTATGCTGAGGAAGTAGATGGGGGTGGTGGTGGCCAACGTCCCCCTAGACCCAGCGGAAGCCTTCTCAGGTGAGGGAGAGCACAGGACTGCTGCAGGTGCCCCAGCGAGAGGGAGGCAGTGTGTGGGCAGTGCAGGGGCTCTGGGACATGCGGCCTGGAGTGCCACCGGAAGGTGCAGGACCTGGGGTCCTGACTGAAACCTTCCAGTTACTTCCCCTTGATAGTAATCAAAGTGAGGTTTCGCTTTGCTAGGTAGGAAGGGAGCCAGCCCTGGGCCTGGCCTCCCAAGCCCATCCCTTCATCCCAACTGCATACATCCCAGGTTGTATCATCCTAGTGCTCATCCTAGTCTCCCAGGTTCAGATGCCTCTGCCCACCCCTCCTGCAGCAAGCATCCCCGAAAGAAAGGAGGAAGAAACATAACTGGACTCTGCCGGGCTTCCGTGGTGCCCGGGCAGGAGCCCCTGAGGCTGGGTTGCTGGGGAGAGGAGGCGGGCCCGGGCCCCGAGCTGGGGCCACTCTGGGGAAGCACCAGCAGGGGTGGCAGTGGTCTGGCCTGGAGCAGTGGCTTCCTTGTGGGGGGCCAGGCTGGGTGTCCCCTGCCCCACACAGGGCCCGGCCCAGCAGCCCCGCACTGTCGCTGGCTTGGGCAAGTGCTGGCAGAAGTTGGCCGACACGGGCACCTTGGCCTGGGGTCCAAGACAGGTGTCATGCCGGTGCTGGATGCCGTCCCCACAGGACACGGAGCACTGCCATGAGAAAGAAGCAAGGAGTGGGTGCCCCTGCCAGGGGATGATGAGGACAGAAGTGACCCAGGACAGGAGCAATCCGAGACAACCTTTGCACAACCAGGGAGGCAGGCAAGTGTCTCCGTTCTACAGATGAGGAGACAGAGGCTCCAAGAGGTCACCTTGCGAGGGTTGTGTAGGTGGCAAGAGCTGGGATTCAAGCCCAGGGCCATAAGTCTCACCCTCACAGCTCTCTCCCTCTCCAGCCTGAAAGCAGGGGCCAGGTGCTCCTCAGGGGGACACTCTCCTCCCGCACCCTAGCAGTCACTGCAGCCCGGTGTCTGACCCCCCATCCTGCTTCCGAGACTCTGGGTTGCCTCGTGCCCCCACACTGTGAACTCCTCCAGTGAGAGATGGAGCCCTATCCACCCCTTTCTTCCGAGGCCTTGCCAGGTACTTGGCATGGGATGGCATTTGCTTACCGTGGGGAGTTGAGTTGTCTGCCTTTCACCCCACAGCATCTCCAGGCCTCTGGGCCTCCTAAAGCACAGCTGCCCTCAGATCTCTAGGCTTTGCTGTGTCTTCTGTCCCTAGGAACCCTCTCCCCCCAAATCTAGCTCTCCCCCACTTTCACAGGACCACAGTGGATCAGCCCCCAGGATCCCCCAGCCCCAGCTGCCATGTCACCTCTGTCCAGGTGCTGACATGCCACCA